TGTGACTGCACAGGCACCCTGGCCAGCCTTGGCTGGAGGCTGCAGGCACTAACGCTAAGCTCTGCTTGTCATTTTACCTGAGCATTATGTAAATCAAATAGAGTGGCTGTTCAATTAAAGCGTGAGAAGGTAATGCCTTCAGGTAATGCCCGCTGCAGCCAAGCCACTGGATTTTAAAGAATTATAGAATTTGTTATTTCCTTGTTTCTTTCCATGGGATATGGAAATAAAGGATCAGGGAAAAAAATTCCCAAATTATTGACTTCCCTGAGGAGATGCCCTGACAGCTCCTCACACAAAAAATTTTACAGTATTGGGCAGGGCAGCACTAGTGGTCACAGAGAAGAACATCTTACCACAGACCCTTTCTCAAGGAAAATTACACTAATTTTTACATCCTGTGGGAAATAAGTGACTTTTCAACAGGGCTTGCAATAAAGAAGAATTTTCTCAGAACAGAAAATCTGAAAAATCTTCTGTGTTCTGAAATCTCCACAGGATGTATCTTAGATATTTGTTTAAATACAGGTTCTGATATTTTATGTTAAAATCTCATTCAGAAAAAAAGAACATGTAAATTTAAAATTATCTAATTATATTAATTTCATGTCTATATTAGCTTTGAATGTTACTTAACAAAAATCTCACTCCAGAAAACTAAACCACCTTGCTAAGGTTAATCTATTCATTATATTCTTTTAACAAGAACAATTACTAAAGTTTCTGAGGCATAGAAAAAGAATGAAAGTTCTAGATTAGGACTACATCACAGTGATATTGACAATTAAAATATTTATATTAAAGAGCAGGTCTAGATTAGTAAAAATTTCGGGGGGGAAATCATCTTGCTTTTAAATAAAACCCCGCCCTGTTTTCTTTAAAATAGCAATGCTCACCAAACATCCCAGCTATTGTTCAAGTATTGAGAAAACCCTTCAGGCATGGACCACTGCTGGTGCTGCAATGCAAGGTGACATTGATGTTCTGAGCAGCTGATTAGCAATACTGCTGGGCACACTAGGATTGCCCTAACTCGGGAGAGTTTTCAAGATTTAATATTTTTCCTAGATGAAAAGCTAATTTAAATATTATTCAAATGTAAAATCTCCCAGAAATTTGGACTGAGTCTATTGAGACATTCCAGTTTTATTTGAAGACTTTCAATGTTATAAAGTCAGTTTAATCTCCCTTTTTGAAAATCTGAATGAAAAAGGGAATTTTCTCATTTGAAGATATGTTCTTCTCATTTCCTTACCTCTCTTCTGCATTTTCCTCCTTGTTTGACCAGATTTTATTTTTGGGCTTTTGAATTTTTAATGTACTGGCATTTTTGTCTGAAAAAACATTGTGAAAATGTTCCTGGGCATATCTGTTTATACTCTAATTGTATTTAAAATATAATTATCAGTAGTTTGGGTAATCTTGCAATTGCATATCAAACTCATGCAGAAATGCAAATACAATTCATATAAATACCCTTTCATTTGTTCTATTTTATAATACATGGTTTACAAAATGTTTTTTATAAAAGTAGCATGCAGTGAAGATAAAATCACAGTAGAAGAGAAATAATTCAGACAAAGGAGGAGAGAATTATCTTCCCTACAGATTTTTACTGCTGGCTGTTTTGTGTTGCCTGTTATGTGTTTACATTAATGTCTGAAAAATAGCACTTGGCCAGGTCATTTATAGGTTAGACAGTCACTGAAATAATTCTAGGAGGCTTGGTGCTTATTGAATACTTAATTTAGTCTTTTACTGTCCTACATTGCAAATAGTCAGATTCTGATTCCATCTACACCAAAATCAATACAGTATAGCTACATTCACTTTAGGGGACTTGCTCCAATATACATTGCTTAATTAAGGACAGAGTCTAGTCCTTCCTCACCCTCATTTATGGATCCCTTCCTCACCCTCATTTATGGCAAGCATGGGCAGGGAAGCAGTTGGAGGTGGTTATGTCCACAGTGACTGTGAGGAGAGTTTGCATTCAGGTTCTTTTGGTCATTTGTGTTTGATAAATGCCCCTGGCACGGGGTTCTCCTGGTGCTGGCAGCAGTGCAGGTGTGCCTCAAGCACAGACACTGCCAGGGATTACCTGAGACTGTGCAGGGCAGCCACACCTGAGCAGCCACAGGTTAAATCCATGTTGGGGGCTTGACTATGACCCCATAGGGCAGCACATCCCCTAAGTGTTCTTAGATGTCATCTTAGATGCCTGTGCTGTCGTGGAGGAAGCTGGGCTGTGCTGAGCCAGCCTGGTGGGCAGAGCTCAGCCTGTGCCCAGCTTGTGACCTGCTTGGGGAGGATGTGCAACCTCAGTAGCCTGAGAGAGAAAAGGTCTGGCATGGGCCCCCTTGATATCCTGAGGAATCACAGTGATTCCAGTGCAAACACAGTTATGGAGGGAACAGTTTGTGTTCCCTCCATAACCTTACCAGCAAGGGAAGGGAAACTTCCATGCCTTGGCAAGAATCCCCAGTGTAGTCAGAGCTTTGGCTGCACTTGTGTGTTTATGAATTCCAACAACTCCATCATGAATGCTGTCACCAGATACCTGGGCTCTAGCCACACTGACTTTTCCAAATGTTTAAGCATGGTTTGCTCTTAGGAACATGCTCTCAGCTGTATTGTAGTTACTATAAACAGTAAGACATAATTTAAATTATTTTTTTGTTTTATTTACTCCTTAGCTTTTCTATTCGAGGATGAAATTTGCGTGGTGTTACTTCCAGACTTCTTGTGCTTTCTTTGTTTTTGTGCAATAATGGTGGTTTTACCTTTTTTTCCCTAAGACCTTGTATTCTGAGAAACAGAGCAGAGAAATACAGCAGAGGAACCACCACCACTGGAGTTAGTACAGAATGGACATGTGGCATTTCAAAAATTATGTTTGGCCTCCTGGAGAGTGCCAGTATAATTTTTAATCTGGAAATTATTTGAAGGGTATTTTCTGTGAAGGAAACTTTCAGCTGCGTAATGTAGCAGTGCAGACAAAGGTTGCAGAAACACTGTCTAAACGAAGTGGGGTTGTGTATTAGGAGGAAAGCAAGATGAGGAAAAGTAGTGCTTCACTCCTTTGTTGCAAAGGAAACAAAGTGTCTCTTCATAACCTGTTGGATTAAAAGCAATGTGCCAAAAGAGGGAACTCTAAGGGAAGAATAACCAGCTCGATAGAGAAAGGAAGGAGCTACCTTCCTGTGTACCATTGGGACAAAGAGTCCACCAGTCTGGCTGATAAGACAATTAAAACTCTCCTTTGGATTTCTAAATACTTTGGCTCTAAACAAATCTGTGTAAGGCATTCTGAGAGGGAGGAACAAACAGTATCTTCTCCAGGCTGAAGGAAAGCAGCAGACTAGTAAGAACAGAACATTCCAAAGTGGCAACAGGGGAAGGAAACTACTTTCTATAGATTGCATGGAAGCTTTTAGTACACTGTTGGCAATTAGGATTTTAGTGATGAAGCCAATTTTTGACATAAATGAAGCCAATTTTTGACATAAGGAATTGTGTTAAGTGTATATAAGTAAACAAAACCAATTTAAATTTTAAATAGATGTTAAAAAAAAAAAAACAAAAACAAAAGGTAGTTTTGAACAAGTACTGTGAAGCAGATGTAGAGAATATTTTATTCCTTAGCTATAACTGCAGATCTCAGAGTTGTGTTCCCTTTAATCATGGTAAATTTTGTGGTTATTCACCTCAGGGTAAACACCAAATTTCTGTATATCTCTGTAGACTTTCATTCTGTAACAGCTGAGATGCAGTGTGTTTATCTCAGGGAGATAATGTGTACATTGGAAGAGACACCAAATGTCCACTCCAAGGTCATTCAGAGAACCACCCCACTTCAGAGCAGCTCATCCGCCCAGGACGGACTGTCCCAGGAAAGGGACACTGCACCTGAAACCCCCTGTCCTGCAGACAGCCCTGGGCACTGTGTCTTTGTGTCTCTGCCCACTTCCAGGTAACCTGTGGTCTTTGCCTGTTGCAGGGAAGGAAGGAATCACCACTAGGTTTGCTGAATGCAAGAAAGGGACCTTAATTCCATTCCTGCAAGATCAGCTTTTTGGCAGCCATACAGCTTTCAGGAGAAAAAGAAGAGCCAGTTAGGAGTGAGGAGATGTCAGGATGTTTAAAGTGCAGGAGTTGGTTCTAACAGCAGGTCCTTGTTAGAAGTGTGTAATTTTTGGACATGCCCCTGGCCTAGAATTTGTGCAACACAGTAGCATTTCCAGAAACGAGCTGAAGGTGGAACTTTTATCACTAAATCACACAACATAGGTCAAAATTTGTTCTTTAATACCCCGAAGTCTTTGAGTACATAAAGGGCACTATTTCAGTGTGGTTAATTTCATTACCTTATTATAAGCTCTAAAACAAAACCCAACGACAACAAAAAAGGGAAAACTACCACAAAAACCCAGCAGGTTTTTCTTCTTCAGTTTTGGAGGGAAAAAGTTGCTTTCAGGGTGAGATTAGGCATGCCAAGTCTCTGGCCAGAGCAAATTTTTAAGGCTGTATCATAAACCTCTGAAAATAGGAGTTTATAATAGAAATGCAGACATTCAGTTAATTATATCATCGTGAATGGCGCCACTATAATTAGCTAACTTCTATATGATGCCAAGTTTTAAAATATTTTACTTTTATGGCACTGGATGTCAAAAGCTATTTATTTTAGTTTCTTTCCTTTTTTCTTTTATTGTCTTACTGACCTGGCTCACCAGGTTAGGAAAATGGCTTGCAGATTTTCCTTCAGCCCTGAAGAATCTTTGCAGCCTCGATGGTTAGCAGATTCCTAAAACCTGGGATGTCAAAGGGAGTGGATTCCCTGCAAGGCAGGCAGCAAGTTTTCAGCAGCCCCAGACTTCTGTGGATAACATTGGACTTGTGGTTCCCACTGAAGGGCTTATTCTGAGATGTCTGACAATCCCAGCTGGACAGAAATCTGCTAATATTTGGTATTAAAAATAATTTTAAGGTGACAGTTTAAAAATAAAAAGATGACATACAGAGACAAAAAAAGGAACATAATCTGTTTTAGAAAGACAATATTTCCTCCAGGTTCAAAATGAGAGAAAGGTGCTAACAACTGACTCAAGGAAATTATGGGATGAGAAAATCTCCTCCCTTAAATTTTTGTTTTCAAGTAACTGTAACACTTTTGCAGCTCATTGCTTTTTAGGTGCTTTATAGTCCACACAGGACTCACTGTTTCACCCATCATAGAAACGCAGTTTCCTCTAGAGGTGAATACAAAAAATTAAAAAGATGTGATAATTTACATTGCAGAGCAAAAATCAACATGTTATTCAGTTGAAAAATCAGAAGAATCTGTGAATTAACTGCACATGCTCAAATATAATTTAAATTGATAATCAAAACTTCACAGATCTCATAATGGAAAACAATCATTATAATTTGAATGCCCAGACAAAGTCTTGCCTGTTTTTTAAGATAATAAGTTAAATTTTCAGGGTTTTTTTTCAAAGAGAATTTTAAATTTTGTTTTATCAAAAAATATCCATATGCATATAATAGTATTCTAAAGTTACTAATTATCCTTAATATTTAACACATTCATGTTTACATGTATTTATACATGTATAAATTATGACTACTATTGATATGCTTGTACCAGTTTTGTCAATGATATTTGGTGAGGATATGAAGGCAAAGCTTTAATTCAAACACACCTGCACCCCAAAGCCTGTTGCTCTTTAGGGATGGTCTAAATCATGCTGCCCTCCTTTTTGTCTAAGAGTGATGTGTAAGTGATAAGACAGTGCTGCTTCTGGGGTTATTTGTGTATATGACTGTGTGAATTAGTGCTGTTCCAGGAGTGTTTGGGCAAGTGGATGTTAACAGGATTTACAATCTGAAAACCCTGAATGGTTTTTTCCTGGTTTCTGCTGATCTCCAATTCTTCAGATCTGCCATCTAAGTTGATTTCTCCCAATAAAATTTCTGATGGTAAGTATTTCGCTATTCAGTAAATCAACAGTACAGTAGGAATTAGCATGGATTCTTCTGTATGTGTTTAGTCAATCTTTTTCTTCTCCTGGCCATGTCCTTGTCACCTTTCCATGACAACTCTTCTTTTTGTGATCATTGTTGGCTGGATGTAATTTTCTGGCTACAGGGAGTTCCACAGATGCTATTACCCTGTACAGGGCTGACAATGCAAACTAATGACATGAGCTCAGTTACCACATGCTCCCTTATTCCGTGTTGCCTTATTAAAGGATCCTCAGGCGGGTCCTGCCAGCTCTGATGCATATGAGCAATCCTGCTGATTGCAGCAGAACTGCCCAAGTGTGCAAGGAATGAGGGCTGGCCACTAAGAGAAGAGCAGTAATTTCTGCTCAGACAGGGCATGTCAAACCAGTGGCCACCAGCCAGTGTGATGGAATTAATGAGGGGAAGCAGTAGCCAGCAGTGACAAGTTGGGATAAACTCACAGAGTAGCACTGCCACATCCAATTACTGTATTTCATTGTTGTTCCCTGGAAATGGGGAACCCTCTGACAACCTCCATGAAAGCTGAACTGGAAATTCTGGGAATAGAAAAAGCCAGTGTGAGTAAAGTTTATGCTGATCCCTTTTAAAAAAGAACAAATGCTAACACAGAAGAAGCCTTTTCTTTCTGTCCTTGACTCTGCTACAAAGTCTGCATTTTGCTGCCTCTCAGGAAGTGTTAAAATAAATTGCTTTCAAGTGAAAAGAAAAAAAAAGTTAGGAAAATGTTTTTTGTCTAGGCCTAATTTTGTTCTGTTGGAAGTGATACTCTTATGTTTTGATGCAAAGCATATTTTGATCTAAAATTCTTGTATAAAGCAAATTAGACTATCAAGATTCCTGAGACTGCTTTAAAAAGTAAAACCTAAGGCATCTTTTTTCCATGCCTAATAAGGGCATTTACTGGTAAAGGAACCAGAGAATTAGTCCAAAGAGTGCAAAACCATCTTGATGCCAACGATATTTTACTCCATAGAATACTTCATTCAACCATAGATTCTGATACATGTGAACAAAATAATAGCCTGGAGGAATGGTTCATGTGGAATTATTTAATTCTGCCCAGCAGAGTGCTACTTTTCGCTGGGAAAAATCTTCTTGCAAGCCGGTAGGCAGCAGAGTCTGCAGCACAAAGCCAAGTGACATCACTGGCTTCTCTGTGTAACAAAAGGCCAATGGCATCCCCCCTTGCTGAGTGAAAATTAGCAGCAGGTCTTTGCACCGTGCACATACTTTGAGAGGAGGGAATTGTGTCATTGTTATTTGCTATTTCCGCAAGCTGACACTTATCTTGTAAGCACATCAACTGTTTGCTTTAGCTCCACAAGTCATTTCCTATACATTATATCAGTTAGTCATGCTGCTCTGCATTGTGTGCAAAAGAGGTTAAATTCCACATGTAGGGAAATAAAAGATGAAGGAGAACTATCTAAATAATTGTTTTAGAATGGGAGCAACTATTCATTTCTTTAAAAAGTAACTGTGCCAGTAAACTGTTTCAGACTTTTGTGTCTACATTTGGAACCAGACCAGTGCATCAAACCATTAAACTCCTTGAAGATAAAGTAGATGAGATCAACTCAAATTCTACCAGATTATTAAATGAGAATCGTAACTTTCCTTGATTTTTACATCCTGAAAGAGCATGCAGACCTATCTGGAGAAAAAACAGAGCTGACTAGAGATGCAAAGAGAGGAACATATCAGGGATTTTTTTCATACATTTTGCACATGTAAAGGAAAACATCTTTGTAATTTTATTTTCACAGCTATTGCCCAGTTTTACTGGTAAATGTTTGTCTGCTGTATTGTTGCTGGGGAATTGTTTCATTGCTAGGGAATTTTTCCAGCTCTAATATCATTGAAGCATTGGTTTTGGTTCTGCCTTTTTACAGTAATGTTTGCTTACTCTTTATTTTTATTTAATTACTGTCATGTATAGTGCTGCATGGTACATATGAGAATATGCCAAATAGAACTGTAACTTCTCAAGCACAAGGGGAAAGTAAGAGGGAAAAGAGAAAGCAGAACTATGAGGGAAGAAAACATTCTTTGGCAAATAATAATGAATATTTTATTCAGCTTGGTTTGAAACAGCACTGTAAGATTTTGTTCAAGACCTAAAATGTAGGCTTCTTTCAGTCTCTTGGCTCTATAGTAAGAAAAATGTATTTCCTTAATCCATGATTGAATACAAATTTATCAGTCAAGATTTTCACAGTCTGTAGATTTCTATAATAGAAAGAGTTCAAATACTCAAGCAACAGAGTTCACTTTTTTTTCTTGTTCTCACTATCTTATTCCTGTGTAACTGTATTAACATCACTGTTCTTCATCTTTTCTTTGCTTTTAAATATCCCAGGACAATATTATAAAGTCTTTGTGGAGAGAAAAGTAAAAAATTATGGTTTCAATTCTCCAGACACTTAAGCAAGTGCCTAATTTAAAGCATGTGGGTAATCCAAATTTGCTTCAGTCATTGGCTTCTGGACCAGAGCCAACACATTTGGAATGCATCCTGCATATTTATTCTACTGTATACATGATTCAATCACATGTGTGCAAAGTTGTTTGTGATTAAATTTGTCAATTAAAGTAACTGAATTGAAATTTTACCTGAGAAAAATTTACATTGAATGACACTCCTTCAATAAAGGTAACGTCAGATGTCAGAGAATTCTTTAATTAAAAAAAAAAACCAAACAAACATTTGAGGCCAAATATCTGTGTAAATTTTGGTGGGGTTTTCTTCCTTTTTTTGAAAAATAATTTTAAAAATAGTAGTTGGTTTGATTTTTCAAATAAGAAAAGATGTTCACTGCATTGCTCGTCATAGTCTCTGGATATTTCTTTTGATGCTCAAGTGTGCCAGAAGTATCTGGAGAAGGTGCATCCAATTTTCTCATCTGGTTTCTTCATAACTTTCTGTTTGGTTCTCCAAATATTGT